AATTACGATAAGCATTACATTTTACCAAAAAAAAATTTCTTTGAACAAAAAAAGAAAAAATAAGTTACACCGATTTTGTTTGTTTGCTTTCTTACGCTAAAAAATTTCAAATTACTTTTAGGTCATATTAATTATATTAATTAAATATTAACATTTCTAAATCAACAGAATCGGCATTAAATTTAAAAATAAAGGCAATCCTTATTTCTACCCCCCAGGAATAAATAAAATGATTCAGATTTTTGATTGCGTCCAGGCTATTCTTATGTCTGTCTCTCCATGAAATATAATTCGAAACGCCGACTTAATACACTGGATTTAATTTGATATTATTCATTTTATTACTGTTCAGATAAGAAATTAGGTTCCTTAAAATTTAATTCCAAGCTGAGCAATTCGATTTAAATTGCCTTTTTATTAATGCACTCGACATTATTAAATTATTTTAGGAAAATGTCTCAACTTTATCAAGTATAATTGACATGATTTTTAAGTTGAAGTTATTCCTCTTGACGAGATACATTATTCTTTACTTAATATTGGTGGCGGAAAACATTCCTTGTTTCTATAAAAACAATTTATTGATCAAAAAAAAAAAGATTTTGTGGCTCTAATTTTTAAAAAAAATCATTTAACTATCAAATTTATTGAATCTAATTCCACATTATTATTATAGTTATCATTATTTTTATAAATAATATTATCATTATTGAAATACCCTCAATTAAAATAATCATTTTATGTGCAAATAGCCAGTCCCCAAAGAACATTATATGGGAACATTTAATGTCAAAAATGATATATAAAAGAATTGTATATTCCAGGATCACTTTGCATAGACTTGTTGTATGAAATTAAAACATCAGAATGACATATAATAACTGATGATATATATTTATTACTCAAACTGTTTTGATTAAGACATGTTTCCAAGGGTTTTAAAATGTCATCAGCTGTAAATGATCTAAATATTGTTATCTTTTCAATTCTAACATCCTCGGAATATTTGGCAACCATCAAATCTATCTTTCTAAGATCTCTGAGTTCCATGTTGGTGCCCATAACAACTACTGTAAACAGATGACATTAGCATTGACCATAACATAATAGGAAGAACTAACTTTTGCTCAAGTGTTGAATGACATTCAAACTCTTGTTTTTGTGGTGTCTTCATGAAAATATTTACATTCTGATGAAAAAATTTATGACCCTCTCAAGTAAGTGTATTATCATTTTTCAACAGTCTAACTGATTGTGGAAGAAAGATCCTACAAAAATATCTCTGCAAACAATGACATTCATCAATTGTAATGGTAAACCTTGTTATATCATTTGTTACTTTTTCAAAATGAGCTGCCAATTTACAATAATATGTGTCCAAAAGATTAACATCATCATAATTTGTAATTTCTTTAATTGCTTCATAGACAGTGAGAAAAAAATGACCAAACTTTGAATCTTCCTGATAGTAAGGTCACATGTGTGTATCCAACTTTTTATCAATTTTATACAAGTATTGACCATGTGAACCTTCTGGCAATCAAAAAGGCTTTAATATAAGGCTTAATACAATTTTCACATCCTTGTTGTTCTAATATGTAGGTAATTACATCATGTTCAGTGTTGAAGCTAAGTTGGGAAGTACCTTGTGGGAGAATTGCATTGATATCATTAAGGAGCTGATGAAAGTCTTGACTATACAATGGTTGACTATTTTGATGAGGAGTAACAATATAAGTAATAAAGTTGTGTTGTCCAGCATCAAATACTGTAGCTGTTTTTCCACAACCTTTCATTTAAATTGAAACAAATAATTAACATGAAAGATAAGTAATTTATATACATATATAAATATATCTACATTGATTGCCTGAAACTCCAACCAATACAGCTAATTTTGGCACAGGATATAGATGCTGGTCGCAATTCTTGGTGATGGTTGCAACCATATTTGCAACATATAAAAATGGTTTGCGACACCTGGTTGTGACCACTTTGGTTTCCTTTTTTGGATTGCGACATGGAACACTAGCACAGGATCATTTATATCTTCTGTGATCATCTTTTTTAAACTTTTCAAATTCTATTAAAGTCCTTTGACCTAATTTTCATAGATTATATCAAAATTAAGCATTTTTCAAAACAAGTAAAAAAATTCTGAAATTGTACCTTGAATTTTGGGTTGAAAATACTGCATATCAGCTTTACCACTAGGACCAACTGGAATGATGTTGTTTTTTAGCAATGGATGATTTTCTATAAATTTCTTTGTGTGTAAAGATTGCAACTTCTCAAGGCCAAGTAAAACATCTATAATAATTGAATCAAATATATGTGTCTAACTCATTATCTAAAACAATTGAATAGATGTTAACATTTTTTGCAAAAAAGAAAAAACTGAAAGAGAAAATGTAACAAATTGACATATGGCATTTTTGTATCATAAATTGAGAAAATTTGTATTAATAATTCTAGATGTACTTATTAAATTGCCTAAACAGAATTAATAGCAGTGTAGGTTAGTGTATTCATAGAAAAGTTTAAGTAGGATTGAATGGTAAAAAAAAACAAAGTTATGAATAGTATACTTCAAAAATAGGTAATTAGAGGTTAAATAGTAAATGTAGAATAAAGACAGTATCTTAGACAACTTTTTAGCAGAACTGCAAAGAAAAGAAGAATCAACGTGTAAAATGCATTTAAGTGAAATTGTAATGTGTTGAAAAAATAAGTATATTGATTCTACTGTATCTATGAAGTTTGTTTAATTAAATAACATTAATTCTTACCTTTTGAAATGAGTGACATAAAGAATAAAAGAAGTATATAATAAATAAAACAAAAATAACATGCATGAATCATGAAGAGATGCAAAAAAAAAAACACAAGTCAGTTAAACTTGTGAACAGTATAAAAACAGATAAATAAATAAATAAAATTGAATGAACAAAAAATTATTTTTTGTATATTTTTTATACAATTTGTTCATTACCTTTTTCTTTTCCAATATCAGCAAATGCACATTGTAAATACTCAACCTGCTTCCACCTGTCCTTCTTGTCTTCCATTTTTCCAACTTCTCTCACTTTTTCATATTCTTCAAATGCAATGTTTAATTGAATTTTGATTTCGCTAATATTTGCCAAAATTTGCAAAAAAAATTTTCAAGTATTTGCGAACAAAACATTCTTAATTTGGGAAACATGGTAAAACAAAACTTTTATGACTTTTTTTTAAATAAAATCAATCATAGATTTTTTTATCCCTCGTTCCTTAAACCTTGTTTCTATAAATGGAAATTGTTTAGTGAACAAAAATAGGGATAGTAAAGATCTACATCCCGCATAATTTACTTTATATGAGTTACACATGGAGCCTACCCTTAACCAAAAACACATGAAGCCTTTTTTTTAAAAAAATTTATTGCATTTTTGAACAAATCACGAAATTGCATTTTTTGAAATTTGTGTGCTTGGCACAGCAATAGAAGGTCTTTAGACTGAGCCAACCTGTGGTTGCTTGCCAAAACTCTTCTGGAAATCAACTGGCAGAGTTTCAGCAGGTAACACACTAATTGTTTGTTAGAGTTTCAGCAGAGTTTCACATTTAGGGATTTTGACAATTATCAGAGTTTTGGCAGGTTACATACTAATTGTTTAATAGAGTTTTGGCAGAGTTTTGGCAGTCATTAAAGGTTTCAGCAAGCAACCTTAAGCCAACCATAGTAATTTTAGGCAGGAATCCACAATTCCTACACATAAACATAAAATATTTTAAGAAAGTGTCCCTTTGAAAATTTGTATATTTAAACTTCAAGATTCATATCATGTGTTAAAAGTACAATTTTAGTTTATATCAACATAAATGGTGGTACGTTGGGGTGAAAGTTGGAGTCCAGAAATTTTTAATTAGTGATCTGCAAAATTTTGCACCAAATTCTGTTTTAATATTCTGTGTAATAAACTCGTTACCTTTTTTGGATAATCTTATGCTCAAATTGAATGTCGATCATATTGTAAAAAGGGGGTGCTATCTTTCAAGACTTTATGGTATATACTATGATGCAGATCATCCAAATTTTACGACCTCCTATTGGGTTGTACGATAGACTATGTAGATCAAAACTAATTGACATTATATATAAAATTTACTAATTAACTTTTTTCAACGAATATAAAAATAAAAATTGCATCTTCTCCTTCAAAAAAAAAGATACAAGTATGAAATTAAGAAAAA